ACACACAACATAATGTCAAAAGGCCGGTCTTGGCGAGTATTCATGTAAATACAGTCAGTTATGTTTTAAGCGAACGTAAACCGTTGAGAAATAAAATGCATGTGTATGGATCCGTGTGTCAGGTCTTAAAGTGACAGCAGCCTAATATATCTGCTGCCAAATATGAGATAATATTAAAAATATTTATATGGCAGTTTTTCCCCATGGTATCGATGTCAAAATTGTAGCCAGTGAAAATGCTGTGTGGCTAGTAACTTTGAAAAACCACTAACCACAGTGGCTGGTGAGCAAAAAAGTTTATGTATATAGTATTAATGTATATACTTAATTAGTGGGAATGAATCAGACTGTAAAAAAATATGGACGTAGTGTCCGTGACATCACCCGTAGGTTTTTGAAGAGCGTTTTTGAAGCACAAAGTGGGCGGAGCCGTCCGTCGCCATCTTGGTAGCCCGTCACTCCCAGATAACCTAAAATGGGTAAAAAGGCAGGATTAGCTGAGGTGACGTGACGCAAACTGACAGCGGACAAACTGCTAGTAGTTACAGCAGCGGCAATCCACCTGTCACTCAAGTGGCCACGCCCTTAATTATGCAGAACTTTAAGGCTTAATATAATTTAAACGGATGAGTTATAAAAAAATTCACCCCCCTCACAGTTGTCATGAAGGGCAAAATTAGCTATATAGACCAAAACCACTTTTTGTACCAGGCTGTAAACTGTACATTTTTCTGTCTAAGTCTATGAGATTGACTCTCTTTTGCAGCCTGTCTCTAGCGACCAGTCGATGAATTGCAATTTAAGTCACTTCCTTGTTGGATTCAAGAGAGAGATTGGAAGGTTTTCCGCTTGTTGGAATGAATTCTTAATTTTAATGGACAAACTACCTCATACAGTGTGACGACATGCCCCATGCGGTCATTGTGTGTTCAATGAACTGTATATACAGAAATTAAAAAAATAAAGCTACCCTGAGAAATATTCACAGCTAAACGTGCGACAAATAGCACAAGTTCCCTATATATGTGTTTACTTTAAAAATAGTAAAAGTTTATCAGTGGATGTTCAATGAATTGATGAAGTTCATTATAGTGATGCATTCCTGTAATCTGCTAGTCTGCCAGCCGGATAGAAAGTATTACTGTCATTGATTGTATATCAGTAATGAGAAGAGGCTGCCTTCCTCTGAGCAACACTAATAGACTCTGAGCTGAGTAATTAAATAGTGCGCTTAAAAAACAATTTCACGAGATTAATTAGCACACCTCCGTGGAGATGGGGAGGAAGCTTTTACTCTGTTTTAATAGATTGGACATTTTTCTTTCTCTCGCTCTGTCATGCTTTTAAAGGGCTTCCGCAGTCACAGAAAACTTCAAGGCCTGGAAAATAAATGGAAATTTAGCTTAGATGGATGGAAATGTCTGTTTTAAATATATACACATTTCTAGATGTGCTCTGCTTTTAACTCTTTCAGGTTTCGAGCTGTGGTACTGTGGGCTGTTAATATATAATAAGAGCCGTTCATGGGACACGCTTTAAAAAAGCCCGCACACTCTAACAATGAAGGGGAGCCACCATTGAAGATAAAACCACTACTTTAATGAGAAAGTGGCAAACGTTTCGTTCACATGTGACCTTTCTCAATAAGTGTGTTTGACTTGAAGAGGCGCTGCACAGACCCATCTTTGTATGACATCGAAAGCATAAACCAAAACAGCAAAACCGTTTGCTCTCTTATTGCTTTCACTGTACTTTGATGCCATACACCGATCGGTCTGTGCAGCGCCACTTCGAGTCAAACACACCTAATGCCTCAGTCCAGGAGCAATCTTAATAATACATTTATATTAAATTATAATAAAAAAAAAACTTTCATCAGCTAGATATTGCTCTTTGTTAGTGCTTGTGTAGTGTGTAAAACATGCTCATAAACCAATACATTCCTTAGTAACTGTCCTTGTGAATCATTGCCCAGCTAACAGATTTTGGTCATAAGAACATTCTGCAAACATTCAGGTTTGGTTATGGGAATGATAAAATGTCTGCGGTATTGCGCACAAAAGGCATTCTCGTCACTTGTTAAACTTAAGGTTAAGCCACTGTAGTCACTTGGACTATTTTAACGATGTCTTTACTAACTTTCTGGGCTGGCAGATATCAATTACCTTGCAGCCTATGGAGGAGTGATCCAGCTCTCAGATTTAATCAAAAATATCTTAATTTGTGTTCCGAAGATGAACGAAAGTCTTACGGGGTTGGAACAACACGAGGGTGAGTAATTACTGACAGAATTTTCATTTTTGGGTGAACTATCCCTTTAAAGTGTGTTCTGGTACAGTATGTGGTGCATGAGTTTGAATCCCATTCAGTCCTTCAAAATTGAATTACATCTAGCAGGCATAACTACAAGAACTTACACTTCAAAAAGACTAGCCCAAATCCATTTCAAAAGGTTCTTTTTGTTGAAGGCTTAATTGCAAGGAAAACCTTTTAAAGAAATAGTTCACACAGAAATGAAAATTCTCTCATCATTTACTCACCCTCATGCCATCCCCGTTATAAAAGCAAACGATAGAAAGAAGAAAAATACTAATATTTTAAACTCTTTTAACTATAAACCATCGTTTCCGGTCAACTGTCCTGGGTGCGTTCCCAAGTTCAGCTTGACATAAATGTGAGTGCGTTGTGAAGATAATTTTTCCTAAAAAAAATGATTTTGTTGAATGCATCATGGATGGCATGAGGGTGAGTAAATGATCGAATTTTCATTTCTGGGTGAACTATCCCTTTGAAAATTATTTTTGGAGTACTTTTTGAATGCTTCATGCAGTAACAGACTGACCTCTGAGCAGCCTGTGATCAGCGATCTGACCTTCATTATCATATCATATCCTGCTCGGCTTGACTGTATTGAGCGGGTTAGCATTTGACAGTGCTTCTCCAATAGGTCAGTGCTGAAGAGCAGATGGATTACCTTAGTGGAGCGTTATTGATTTCACTGCATTATAATGCCATAGCCAGTATGACATTCTGGCCCGTAATTTGATCGTGATGTGGCAGATCACTCGATAGATCTTAGACCAGTTTCCAAGCATGACATCACATCCCAACATATCCCTTTACCCAGAAATTTTAACTGCACCCTGCAAGCCAAAATGTGAAATTCATACCCAAGACCACCGATTTCCAGTGCTTGTTTTTGCCATGTTGCGTCTCTTGCCACATAAGACAATATTTGCTCAAATAGGATGTAAATGAATGTTGTTTTTCTGAGTTCTCGTAGTTGATTTGTGTCCATGTGTCAGTGGCGCTCCTCTCATTGAGCTTATTGGAAATAATGTGCTCCTCACGCAGGAGGTAACAAACCCAGCAAGAGGAAATGAGACAAATGATGAGGAACTCGGTGACAATGAGCAGACCACGTCTCACAGCGCGTTCGCTCCGGCATGAGCACGCTATTCTGAGCACAGAGCGATCTCATTGCCGAGATAGAAAATTGGATGTTTTATCTGGGTTGTTTTTCTCATTTCCAGATAAATATCACTTGTAAACTTGTTTTCTCTTTGAGACTGTGAAATATTAAAGGACATTTCTTGGCTATCACCTGTATCATTTCTCTTCTACATTCAGACTATGGGAATATAATGTGGTCAGAACCAGGCTGTCGTAATGAAGTATGGGAGAAGGTTTCTCTGTCTGAATGATTAGCTGTACTTATATAATTAGCAAGAAATGCTATGCTAATGGTCATTTTAATGAGGAACGCTGCCAAAAATACTATTTTTAATCAGCATCTTTGTCTTGTTTTTCAGTAAAACTGCCTAAACATTGTCGGCGCTCTGACACTCTGTTGTTTTTCCACTTATTCTAGCGGCCATTAGAGAATGTATAAAAATGTGTAAACATCCTAAAAAACAAAATAATTGTTTTTTAACTGGGGTGATATAGGGGGTCTGCAGAAAGTTTCAGCAAAACTTATTAAAACTTAGAAAATAAAATGTTGCAATTTACATAATTTGACAATTATTGTTTGCTCTGTTTTATGAAGACTGGGTGAAAGTCATGAGATTTATTATAAATATATATTTTTCTATTTACAGTCAAAAATTATTTCTCTTCAGGTACTATACTGTAATGGTGGGTCGAAAAAAGATACAGGTACACTGTCAAGTAAATATTTTCCAGATAATATTTCACACACATTTATAACTATAATCATAATATATTATATTTAAATATCATATGCATGTGATGTTTATGTCATTATTTACACTACCATTCAAAAGTTTGGAACAATTTTGATTTTTTTCTTCTCAAAAGTTGTTTTTTAAAGAAGTCTGTTATGTCCACCAAGGCCTCTTTTATTTGATAAAAAACAACAACTCAGTAATATTGTGAAATATTATCACAATTTAAAAGAACAGCTTTCTATTTTAATATATATTTAATTCATTCCTGTGATGTAAAGCTGAATTTTCAGCATCATTACTGCAGTCTTCAGTGACACATGATCCTTCAGAAATCATTCTGATATGCTGATTTGCTGCTCGAGAAACATTAATTATTATAATGTTGAAAACTTATTTTTTGTGGAAACTTTTATAATATAAACGTCTTCATTTGATCAGTTTAATGCATCCTTGCTAAATAAAAGTGTTCATTTCTTATTTACTTTCTTTCAAAAAAGAAAAATCTTACTGACCCCAATCCTATGAATGATAATATGTAGCAGGTTTAGGAAGAGAGTCCGTCCCAGCAAATCATTATATTTGGAGGTCTGTGGCTGACTTACAGTAGAATAGAATAGAATAGAATAGAATAGAATAGAATAGAATAGAATAGAATAAATCTTTATTGTCCACCGGGGTGGACATTTTTCTTTACAATTTTGTGAGGTCTACATCCTTAGGAATAATTCACCTAAAAGTAGCAGTTCTGTCAACATTTACTCAGACAGAAATTTTTTTCTAGATGCCTCATCGTCTGTGTTCTCTTCCCAGGAACTTCTACTACATCACGCTGTTGCGGGACCCCGTGTCGCGTTACCTGAGCGAGTGGAAGCACGTGCAGCGCGGAGCAACGTGGAAGACGGCGCTTCACATGTGCGACGGGCGTCCCGCCACCCCAGACGAGCTGCCGTCCTGCTACAGCAGCGAGGACTGGACCGGCGTGTCCCTCGAGGAGTTCATGGTCTGCCCCTCAAACCTGGCCAACAACCGGCAGACTCGCATGCTGGCCGATCTCAGCCTGGTGGGCTGCTACAACCTGTCCTCCATGAGCGAAGAACGGCGCGCCGAACTGCTCCTCAGCAGCGCCAAGCGCAACCTGCGGCGCATGGCCTTTTTCGGCCTGACTGAGTTCCAGCGCAAAACGCAGTTCCTTTTCGAGAGGATGTTCGGCTTGCACTTCATCGCCGCCTTCACTCAGATTAACGGTACCCGGGCGGCCGGGGTCACGGTGGGGACGTCCACCCGGAGGCGCATAGAGGAGCTCAATGCACTAGACGTGCAGCTGTACGAGTACGCCAGGGAGCTTTTCTCACGCCGCGTGCAGTACTGCCACCATCAGGAGCGACAGGAGGAGAGGAAGAGGAAACGAGAGCAACGCAGGAGAATTAAGCAACAGAAAACCTCACAGATTCAGCAACAGGAGGACGACGAACGAAAGGATGCAGAGGAGGAGATGGAGTTAGCTGGGGTGACGGAGGACTACAGCAGTCAGGTGGTGAGGTGGTGATGCCTTGCTCTCTGGTTATGTTCAGAATAACATACTACTCTTAGCATGTCTGCAGTATATAATATACTGCTTACCACTACAGTTCTCAAAGGCTCTGTTTACACCTGGTGTTTTAATCCATCTCCTTTTCAACCACTTCTGTCCTGATTTCTTCGAGGGGAGGGTCTATAATGTACGGGCTTTTTCAGATCTTTCAATCTAATGGACGAAATAAGCTTGCGCAATTTACAATATGAACACCCCCGGAGACGACGGAAAAACATAAGGAGACTAGCAGCTTTCGTTTCTGCTCTGAGAGCCGCAAGATGACGCCGAACGCTGTGAGTGTGTGTTAGAAATCAGGAATGGTGAGAGAACATTGTGCTTAGTACGTTTTTCATCTTCAAACCAAACTTGGGTCTTCAGCCGACAAAGTTTAAATCCCGTCTCTCTAGAGCGGTTACCATAATGTTTATGCATTAGGTCAGTAGGTGGAGAGTAGACGGTCTTTTGTGGCTGTTAGAACACATTCGACCAAATGAGCGTTTACACTACGAAAGCAATCCGGTCTAATGCGTTTTCAACTCTGGAAGTGGTCGAAAGTGGTCAAGCTCAAAGCGTTTTAGACCCCGTTTACACCTGTATTTAACGTCGTCCACTTGTGATCCGATCGACCAAAACACATCTTAATACCAGGTGTAAACAGGGCATTCAAAATAGATGTGGTTCATGAAACAAAACCGGACATAAAGAGACAACTAAAAACAGCACCAAATTTGTATATTGTATGAAAGCAAACAAAAATGTTCTTAAGATAAAACATTTAATGTAACTGCATAACCAACAATATGCACAATTATTTAGATTATTCCTCCGAGAAACTTTGCGTTCACTCAAAAAGAAAACAAAAGTTGTGTGAGCTTTACTTACTGTTTATAGTATACAGCATACTGTATATTGCGCAGTATTCATTTAGCAATAAGCTAGTATTCTATTCTGAACATAACCTCTGTCTGTTTCCATTCATCTTCATCCTCTCCAACAGGTCTCATCCTCCTCCTCCTCCTCCTCCTCTTGCGTCTGATGGTCAGTGAACCCGGGCCCATTTAAGAACATCACAGAACTTTACCAGCAATTGTAATGTTTTAATCCATTCTGATGAAATTGGGAACTTGTTTCACCCTACTGTTTATTGTCATCACAATATGGTGGACTTATTATAAAAACTGACTATAATAGCCAATGACGTGATCTTAGAGGAGCAACTACTGAATGTTATTTGACTGAAAACCATTTTGCAATGCCAAACAGCAATTTTCTCTGTTTGTTTTCCTGGTTTTTGGAAAATGTTAAAATAAGGGACATGTATATATACAGTGGACACACGTCCAAAAAGTCTGATTGACCAGTATGTCTACTTGAATCTTTTTGTGTTTGCCTGTTTTCCTCAGTTTGTAAAGGGTGTGAGATTGTTGGATTATACAAATGAAAAAAAAAAAAAAGAATGAGAATGATGTTTGCATGGTCACAACTAAATTGATTTGTTTTACAAGTGTACTTATTGAGTCAAATAAAGAAGTATTATATATCTGAAAATAATTATCATCTGTTCATTTAGCTCAAAACATGAATTTTTTTTTCATCAAAAGCGGATCTTTTCCATACAGTTAAAATGTATAATTGTTTATAAGAAAAATTATATGTTACATCTTGGCTTTGGCTACATCACATTCTCTTGTCTTTAAAGTAGTGCATATTTACAGTACATATATGAATAATCATTTGAAGCATGTTGTATGTTTTACACACAGCAAGAATAGCCTATATTTGACTGAAATCCCAGAATTGTCAGCAAGCTGACTATCTATAGCGCGATGAATGTTTATTCACCAGAGAAGCGCACTGCCATCTTTAGAATTTTGTGTTTGAACTTTTTTTTTTGCAGTAGCTCTATATATTTCTATGGCATCGCTGTTAAACAGTAATTAGCTAAAGTGGATTTACTTATTTTAGAGTTAACAAAAGTTATCATGAGCACTATAATATTTGATGCAGATGTCGGAACAAATAATTATGTCTACAGTAGACGTTAAATAACTTGGCTATAATGCGATTTTCCCAATAAATGGCCGCCACACCTGAGCCTCTTCACAACATGGCCGCCACGCCAGAGGATCCCCCTCTGATGTCGGCACGTGCAGCCAGCATCCCAAGGCTTGGGCTCTCAAGCCCACTAGCCTCAGCGCTCTCAAGCCCGCCGGCCTCAGCACTATCTGCCCCGGAGGTTGTTCCCGTGTCTTCTGTGCTCCCTGTGATGGCGGCAGCCATTTTGTGTGTTTGGCCCTGATACAAATAAAGAGGTCACCCTAGAACTCTTTGCCTGCCCAGATACAACCATGTAGGTCGCTACCTAACTCCCTGCCTGTTCTGTCTCGAGTTCCCTAGTCTCGCCGACTCCCCTGGAGTGGTCTTCAGTCCCGCCTGCACCTCTGTGGTGGTCACCAGTCCCATCTGATCTGCCGTGGGGATCTTCAGTTTTTTGATATCGGGAATTACATTTACACTAGTAAAAATGCTAATTCTTGATATTAACAATGACGTCATCACTTGCAGAAATACATATAAAGATCAAGAATTAACCACCACGTGCTCAGCCTGATCCGCCTTGGCCACCTGACCAGCCAGCTCTGTCCTGGCTACCTGCAATACTTCTACCTCCAGTCCTTCCTCCAGTCCATGGACCAGACCTTCCATTCCGCTCTCAGCTCCACATCTACTCCACCTCCCTCTTGGACTGTTTTGGAGTGTCTTGAAGTCGCTCCTGTCAAGTCAGGTCAAGTCACATTTATTTATATAGCGCTTTTTACAATACAGATTGTTTCAAAGCAGCTTTACAGAGATAATAGGAAAATAATGCAACAAAGTTTGTTTCCAGAAGAAAATATGTCATGCTATGCAAATAGGGCTATACCGTGATCCCGGTCTCTGCTCCCATGTCTTGGTTTTGTGTTTATGGACGCCTGATTTGAAGTGTGTTCTGTTCCCCATTGTTTCTGTGTTTACTTCCTGGTTCAGTGTTTGTTGCCATAGTTGCCCTCATTGGTTGTCATAGTGACTAATCAGTTTCAGGTGTGCCTTGTCAACTTCTTGTTATCCTGTGTATATATTCCCCTGTGTTTCAGGCTTGGTTTGTCAGTTGTTGTCTTTGCATGTAGTGTGAAGCTCTTGCTCTGTGGTCTGTTTCATGTTCCTGGTTTTACTCTCAGTATGGATTATCTTAGTTTTGGTTTTAAATAAAATTTGCTTCAACTGGATTCTCACCTCACTTCATCCCTGCCCAAACGTAACAGAAATAAAGAGTCAGCTGTGTGTGTGTGTCTGGACAGACAGAGGGTCTGGGCAAGCAGAAATGTGTCTCTGGTGAGCTGTATGTGGTCATGTACAGAAGAGCTGTTGAGCTGTTGTGAGCTTCCAGCCTCACAGCTCTAATCTCCTGAAACCTTCAGAAATGGGCTCCCAAAATAGAACGCAGAAGCGAGCTCTGAAACAAAATTAAGGCAGATGAAAGGAAAATTAAATTCTGAATGAGGAATTCCAACAGCTCTGCCAATTCTGCAGCAGTGTGTGACATCTTTACTGATACACTATGGTGGAAAATACTGGAATAGCCAAAGCTTGAAATAGAGTATTCACATACTTTTTAAACACTATCATTCAAAAGTTTGTGAAGAAGAATATTTTTGGAAGAAGTCTCATATTCTCTCACCAATCTCAAAAATCTAAAAAACATAATATTGTGAAATGTCATTAAAATTTAAAATATATGTTTTCTATTTGAATATATACTTTCAAATGTAATTTATTCCTGTGATGCAAAGCTAAATTTTCAGCATCATTGCTCCAGTTGTCAGTGTCACATGATCCTTCAGAAATAATGATGTTGATTTGCTGCTTATAACTATCGATGTTGATAACTGTTTTTTTTTTGTAGAAACCATTTTTTCAGAATTCTTTAATTAATAGAAAGCATTTATTTGAATCAGATTTTTTTTTGAAACTGTGGTAAAGTATTTGTAACTTTCAATCAAAGTAATGCAACCTTAAAGAACAAAAGTATTCATTTCTTAACAAAAAAAAAAAGACCCCAAACTTTTCAGTGATGTTTGTTAACTGCCTCTTTAAAAATGTAACTCAAATGCTTGCAGTCTTAAAGGAACAGGACCTGGAAATGTTGTCAATCCAACTCATTTGGCTTTGTTCTGTGAATCTCTAAAAGAGATATTTTACAGAATGTTCACACTGCTCTCCGTAATACAAAGAAAGCATGACCAGAGGCTGTTAAAATCCAAAAAAAGCATGACTATATATGACTTGTGTGCTATATTGCAAGGACACTTGAGAATCAGGCATTGGGTGTCACCAAACTGCTTCACATGAAAGTTAGAGCTGAACATAAAATAGGTTACAGATGACATTCCAGAGGATGTGCTCATCATGAATATGGAGGACAGAATGTGAGCCTCTCCAGTGGCGGCCGCATCCCATACAGCCATTACTCACAGCCCTGTTCTCTGTGTACAGCGACAGGTTCAGGTGCTCTGGGAGTTTTTGGTAAAATGCTGCAGTGACCCATTCCTACACAGAAACATCCGTTTTGAGTTTATTTAAGACTCCTGCAAAAGAAAAAAAGCACACTCTTGACTGGCCCTATGGTTTACCTTTTTTATCTATACCAACCTGATTGTTTATTCCTATTTACTACATAAAAATGAGATAAAAAGAATTGAATATAAATACATGTAATATAAATATAAATACCATAAATATTTATTATATAATAATATTTGTCTGATTATTTTAGTGCTGTCAAATCGATTAATCGCGATTCATCACATCTAACATAAACGTTTTTGTTTACATATGTGTTGTGTATATACATATTATTATTTATATAATATGTGTGTGTGTGTGTGTGTGTGTGTGTGTGTATATATATATATTACATACACATATGCAAACACACACACACACACACATTTATATATATATATATATATATAATAACACACATATTAAATAAACAAAAACTTTTATTTTAGATGCAATTAATCAC